ATGCTGCTTTGTTCCCTATATTCGCACTAGTGATGAACTTTGATGCCTAGTGGATGTAATATGTGTAATAGCCATGATAGCCTAGCGTAAGTTGCTTGCTTATTTATTTCCTTGTTGTCTTGTTTATTTATTTGCTTGTAGTGAGTGCAGTTCTTTTTCCGTGGTTTGCTAGTGGCCGCAATAACCTATTTTAAAACTAGGCCACAATAACCATGGGCTACATATTTACTGTAGTGACACTGGGCCTCCTACGGGTCGTAGAAACAATGGGCCTTCTACGGGGCGTAGAAACAATGGGCCTTCTACGGGCTGTAGACACAATGGGCCTTCTACGGGCCGTATCATCGATGGGCCTTCTACGGGCCGTATGATCGATTGGCCAAACATTGGCCAATAATAGACCGCATTATGGCCGTAAACGGGCTAGAGTTGGAATCGTCCGTTCGTGGGCCGACCATAACAGGCCGTCGTTAATCGGCCGTATTTAATGACGCTATGAAAATGGCCCAATGTATTAACGGGCCACAAACGGGCTGACTGTAACCACAGGCTGAATTTGGCTCACAAGCAGAAAATTACAGTAATGGGCCATAAGTAACCGAATGCTGGAAATGAGCCCAAGAATAAATGGGCCCTGAGAAGGCCAAAAGATAAAGTGGGCTAGAAACGGCCCAATGAAATAATGGGTCGTTAATGGGTATAAAGTGATACACTGTTCATTACAGGCCAGTTTCACCATGGGCCGTTAATGGGCCAAGAGTTACAAAGGGCCTCATATGGGCCGAAAGGCGTCATGGGCCATACATGGGTCAGAAGTTAAAACGGGCTGAAATCATATTGGACGGCCCAGATAACGCTACTGGGCCTAATTCGGATAGGTCGTAACGGGCCCTGGGTTAGCGGGCTGTAAATGGGCTATATGCGAATAGGCCGTTAACAGGCTTTCCATGGGCCGGCCCGCCACCTTTTGACCAAGTAAATGGGCCTGCCTTTTCATAGGAATGGGCCTTTGTTGGGTCGTGCCACATGTCGACGTATCATAGGCGCCTTCGGTCCAATGAGTGAATGACATCTGTCCCAACGGTGAGCCGACACGTGTTTCCTCCAGCCAATGATGATTTTACACGTGGAAAATCCCCATTGGTCGGGGCTGTTAACGGGTTATCGGATCCAAAACCGGACCCGATAGCTTAATGGTGTTCCGTTACGGTGGATGTCATGTGTTAGTCACCCTTGACGAAAGCACTTCTATGACGTCGATTTATCGTCATGGAAGTAGACACTTCTGTGACGATAATTTTGGTAATGTCATGGAACACTTCTATGATAGCACAGGTATGACTATCTTGATTCTATCATAAAATCATCATGGATGTACATGCATGACAAAAAACATGACCTACTGTGACAAACACGTATCATCACGGAAGTGTATTTTTTTGTAGTGTTACTAGGGACACAATATTTTATCTATGTATCCATACATGTATCAAGTTTCCGGTTAATACAATTCTAGCATGAATAATAAACATTTATCATGATAAAAGGAAATATAAAATAGCAACTTTATTATTGCCTCTAAGGCATATTTCCTTCAGCGAGCACCCGAGGAAGAAAGCCCTCCATCCAATGCCCCAAGGGAAGGGGTTGGGGATGGGGTTGGAGTTGCTGCTGGAGTTCATGGCCGTAGACGGAGGAAGAATGAGAGACAAAGAGATGATTGAGTGAGATGGTAGGTAAGTAGTGACCGTGGGGATGGGCAAATAAAGGGGTTATAGATGATAGGTTATAATGGCAGTCAACTTCGAAACTTTGTGCTCTTCATAATGTGCTCTCTTCATAATGCAGATCGACACGGACAACAAGGGTAAGGAGGTGGTGCCTCCCATGGAGAAGGGCAAGGAGGTCGTGCGGCCATGGAGGTTGTGCTGACCACGCCTGAGGAGGTGGCCACTGATGAGGACGTTGTGTTGGAGGAGCCCTCTAGCGGCAAGCGTCGTAACTACGACCACTACCATGAGGAGGGAGGTCCAACCCACTTCTGCAAGGTGATACTTGCCCCTCAACTTGAGTGGATCCCGATGCCCCTGGACTTCACCAAACACTTCGCGGTGGCGCCGCAAGAGTTCAAGCTCAGGACCAACACCGGCTGCTCGTGGAGGGTGACTATCCGGCTGATGGACGACAGGGTGATCCTCGATCAGTGTTGGCCCCCCTTCGCCGTCGTCCATCAGATCATGATCGGCTACATGGTGACGTTCAAGCTCCTCAGTCCCGACACACTCAAGGTCATCGTCTTCAACGACGAAGGCATTGAAATGGTGACCAAGTGCGGCAAGCATGATGACGCATTTGTCGTCAACGTCTAGGACTGCCCTTCCTATGCTCCAGCCGGTTTAGTTTCTTATCGTACTATTTTGCATTTGAATTGATATGTTTAAGTGTGGCACTTTATTTAAACTGCGGTTAGCTATGGTTTACAACTATCTTTTGTTGTATATATGATTTTTTCTTCACGCCGTTGTGTGCTGGTAACCTCACCACCTCGACAAAGAGGGTACCAGACAACAGCCGTTGCATGGAACCAAACACCATGTAGTTGATTGGGCCGAGCCAATGCAGACAACCAAACGGTAAGCCAAAATTGCTCCCCTAGTGCAAGAGGCCTAGAGGCGGGCAACCAAACAATGTGCAGATGTTGATTTTTTGCCTGTTTTCTCATTCATGCTCCATTGAGCCAGGCTTGAGTTAGCCGGGCCCGACTCACAATGCTACCAAACACATCCTATAAATACTCCCTTCATATATATAGGGCCTAATATGTTTTTAAGGATATCTTTGACTATTGATAAGATTAATAATATATAAGATGTATAATGTGAAAATTATATCACTGGAAGCTTCTTCCATACACAAATTTGATGGTATTCTTTGTATAACTTGCATGTCATATATTATTGCTTTAACATGCAATCGAAGGTGTGTGTCTATATATATATATATATATATATATATATATATATATATATATAGGACAAATTTTTCCTACACCCGGGTGTAGTTACTCCCACTTTTGTTTCATACGTTCTACGTAGTATCTATCATATCGGAGAGTATGTACGCGTAGTATGTAGTATGTAAGAATGTTTAGGTAGTATATATACTATTTTTTATGTAGTATGTAGTATATTTTGAGCATACTCCTTTTTACGTACAAATATGTACGTATTTCACAAATATTATAAAAACATGGGCTCACATGCAATTTTTTCACATAATTC